CGGCAAGGCAATGTCTTCTTACAGCTCAAACTGTTATTTCGCTATTTGAACAACTGTCAACTATAAAAAATTATCTAGATCTGCTGAAAAAAGACTTTGAGACTTTTGCTTGTAAGTATGCAGCTCGACCTGCCACAACCATTAAAACTAATGCAGAAACTCCAATAAAGCAAGACATCTCTGACATGTGCTCTGATAAAGGACGAGACAATAAAGTTAAAAAAGCTGACAAAAGTATGCAACAATTAAATGACTCTACTAGTAAATCCTTATTCACTGATAAGGTAAAGAGGAGTAGTCCTATACAGACCAATGCCTCTGGATACAAAAGAGGAAATCCCTCATAAGCAAAACCGCTTACTTCAGACACAGCAGGTTGCTCTCTGTATCTCCCTGAATAGTCTCAATATTGGACGCTGGGATTCTAGGAGAGCAATTAAAACTTCCTTAGGTCAACTTCTGCATTGTCATTACAGTCAGATAGACCTACATGCCATCGAATGGCTTCCCACTGTTCAAAACCGAAAACGGATTTTGCTATCTTTTAACCAGACTACCATTCCATTAATGCTATTAAAGATGAGACCATATTTAGCATCATTTCAAATCTTTCCCACCAGAGTTTTTCGCAATGTTAAAATTAACTCTTTATCTGGTCATGACTCATCTCAACTGCATACTCACTCCACAATTGTAATGGAGGCCACCAAGCCCTCCTTCCCACATACGACCTTGAAAAAGCAAGGCAGTGGGAGTCAGTCACTCTCACAAAATGAAGATATGCCAGACTCAGATGAAGGTGATCTTATTAAGGCTTTTGGAGATCTGCCCAGGAAGGAACAAGACAACATAATACGTAAACTAGAAAACCTCAAGGAAACTTTACTGCTCACCATTGCTACAGCAGAACCACTTATTGATCTTGTGTCTTCAAATACTGACACAAATTGCCACTTTTTGATGGATAATGAAATGGATGGAAATTGCCACCCAAATAATAATTCTCCCAGCCCCCATGGAAGGAATGGGGAGCCTGCTGGAGAGCACCAGCCCTTGTTAACTATCGAGGAAGTGTTTCCCATATCACAGGCAGATGCTGAACAATGCTCTATGGATCTTAGACCTTCTTCACATTATAGCTTTTTATTACATCCTTTGAAACCTACGAGTTCTCTTTCCCAAAATTCAGACCTGGATTTTATTACTGGAAGTCCTAAAATCACCCAACCAGAAGCTGTTCCGCAAACTCAGGTGGTGCTACACCAGGTAGCACTAGAGGAAACTTCAACTTTGGACCCATTCCAGAAGGAAAACTCTGTATGTACGGCTAACTCACTGATAGTACCCTCAGACCCTAAATGATTCTACCCTATAGAAGGGGGTATTTCTATCCTCTCCTGGAATGTTGCAGGCTGGAAAGCAAAGATGTTAGATGTTTCATTTA